GTGCCGGTGCTGCGGGGTAAGGGGCAGCGCGGGTCTCGCACTGCTCGGGCCGCTGGAGCAGAGCAAGGTGACCGCGGGGCCTTGGCACGGGCTGTGCGAGAGGTGTTCTCAGGGCCTGTCTGGGCCAGGACAGAGCAAAAAGTCCTCTCGGCACGCTTAGTTAATAGAGTGTGGCAGCAGCTGTGTGTTGAAGTGCTAACCACCTTTGTAGCTGTCCTGCTGGCGCTCAGCTCGTCCTGCACCCTGCAGAACCTCTGCCTCTGTCCCCCGTGCTCAGCTGTACACACAGAGGCTTCTTTGCCCCCTCCAAGGGCAATCACTAAATCAGTCATCTGCAATGTCAAATAGAAATCCATCTGCAATAAAGTGCCCTTCCCATGGGGAATATTGTATTTGCCACCTGAAATATTTGTGTTTCCTGCTATGTTCTTGTTCAGAGAGAAGGTTTAAGGGAATGAGGTGCTGAGAGAAGTGGAGTCTCCAGAATTTGGAGCATTTAATGCTGCTTTCCCAAGATGCAGCAGCAGAATTAGGGGCAGAACTCAGATAAAAAGACTGTAGCTGCCAGAGGGAAACCTTTCAGTGCTGTATCTCTCGCTGGATTTAATTCTGACACAGCCAGACCTGGTGCATCAACTGGTTTACACTGGGAAAACAGAAAACCTTAGGTTCACATCCCTCTTGATTTCTTGTAACATCTCGATCCGGCATCTTACACAAGAGCCACAAAACTGATCAAACACTGGGGCTGATCTGATGATAAGAATGTATCTTTGTAATAAACTTGGTTTTCATTCTGTGTTTCCGTATGGGCAGGTCTGACTTTCACTGTCACCTGTAAAGTCACTTTCAGATTCATTTCACTGACATTTAGAGTAACGGTATGTTGCATTTTCAGACTTAACGTTAAGTTACTTAGCATCTCTCTGAACATTGGACCTGGTGTGTGTGGCACCCTGGGAGAGTAGGAGTTGTCATTACCTACGAAAAGACTGATGTTACTGTGCAGGACATTAGTAGTGGAGTGCAGGAGGTTTTTGGCCATCACCCCCTGCTTGGCAGTTGCAGGTCTAGGCCCTGTCCCCCTGGTCACATCTTCCTGCTGCCCTGTCTTGATCCCTCAAACAAATATCAAAGTGTGTCTGTGTCACAATTCATGTGCTACAGTTCACAGTTCTGGGGGTTTTAGGAGCTTCACATCCTTCATTTCCACATAAGTGTTTCATTCTGAAGAAATAAAACATGCAACTCATCACAGGAGCAAAACAGAAGGACCAGGTTCTGTCTGGCCCAAGATAAGAACATAAATAACCTGTTAAAGCTTTATCTAAACCAAACCATCTGATTTGCATTGGCAAGACTGATTGCTCATACTTCCCTCTAGGTTTCTGAGCAGAGATGGATAAAGGGCAGACTGGAGCTGAATGCAGTGTGAGATTCTTATCTCACACACAGCTCACAGCATAGTTCCAGAAACTCTGAATCCTGGTGTGCAAAACAACTGTGTTTGAAAGGCAGGCACTGGGCAGGCTGCCTATCTGGCTTGCAAATGAGGGTGCCACACTTCCTTCCACTTCTTTACATTCCTGCATGCCAGCTGGAGTAGTGTCCCTGTTCTAATGAAGAGATTTGTGTTTCTTTGCCAAAGGTCGGATGGTACAACGCAGTTCTCCAGCCAGGCTTTCACCTCCCCTACCCAGAGGACACACTGGCCTTCGTGATCCTCAGCACACCTTCAATGTTTGACAAAGCCCTTAAACCTTTTGTGAAAAAAGAGCGATTAAAAATCATCAGGGACCCTGTGGATCAGTGTGTTTCCCATCATTTGTCACGTGTAAAGGAGGTAAGAACCTGAAACACTGATTGCTTTGACTGCTGTAACATATAACCAGATGGGCTCAGCAGCAAACACAGCCTCCCAGGTTCCTGCCTGTGCTCTTGGGAGGGTGAAGCATTATTCATCAGCAGCCTGTTGACCAGCTTTACCTGCATATTCTGTCTCTGGTTTTATTACCTGCAGCTAGGCAGAGCTTTACAGGCACAGGTTGAACACCAGAGGCCATGAGCTGAGAGATTTCAGTAGCAGGATGTGGAGGTCTATAGCCTTCACATGTGCCTGATTTGCTACCTTCCAGCACTTCTGGAGTGGAAAATCCTTTCCATGAGCCTGGGCTTATGTTTTCTAATTCTCCCAGAAATTCCCTGACCAGAAGGTGGATGTCATGTTTGATTATGAGATTCTGCCAAGCCGAAAGCCCAAGTTCCTGGCACAGACAGCTGCCCATGTTGCTGGAGCTGCATATTACTACCAAAGGAAGGATGTGAAGCTTGATCCTTGGGGGAAAAAGGTGAGGCAAAAGCACAGTCTGGGAAGAACCACTAAACTGCAATCACTGAATTGTACAGCTATTGTTTACTCACTACTCACTGTTTTTTTTACAAAGCCCAGATCACATATAGGTCCATAAAGTACTTCAGGTGGGAATGGGAAGCCTCCAAGATTCTTCAGGGTGGTAGGGAGATGCATGCATGGAGAGAAATACCTTGATCTATTAAACCTACTTAGACCAAAGAGTAAATTGCAGTACAAAGAAAACCTGTTGCTTGGAGCATTATAAATAGGGAAAAAGATGCACAATCGTTAACTTCTGTGTTAGATTTTCAGAGAGGGACCTCTCCCCACGTTAGGGGGTGGTGTGTGGGCACAGGAAAATGGGAGTGAAATGTGATGCTTTGAGCCACATGTTCAGGAAAGAGCTTTCCTTCCTGCTCTGCACAGCACTCCCAACAGAGGGCTGGGATAGTGAGAAGTTGTATTGAGGCTTGATGCTTCGAACTCTGACCTTTACTAGAGACAAAGGGAGACATCTTAGATACTTATTTTTTCCCTTCCAGAAGATCTATGGTGTCTGTATCCATCCCAAGTATGGTGGTTGGTTTGCTATCCGGGGTCTCCTCCTGTTCCCAGATATCCAAGTACCATTCCTGGAACAGCCTGCTCCTGTTGACTGTGTGAGCACAGAGGAGAAAAGGATTTTGTTGCTGGAGCAATTCAATTTCCACTGGCAGGATGGTCGCTACAGGGACATTATTGAAGTGAAGGAAAGGTATTCGGAGGAGCAAAAAGCTTACTTTGCCACTCCTCCAGCAGACAGATTCCAGCTGCTGGGGCTGACACCCGCAGCGCAGAGCAGCACATTTCACTGAGGAACGTGGCTCCATGGGAGGGCAGAGGGCAGCAAAGTGTAACTCATCATCACAGACTCTTCCCCTGTGCAGAGGAGGATGATGGTGTGCAGATAATCCGAACAAATCCGAGCAGCATATGCAGCGTCTCAGTCCAAACATCAGCTTCCCAGGGAGAGGGAGCACTGCTCCATAGCAGTCGTGGTCTGGGGGAAGGTGAGAGCAGTCTGTTCTGTGCTGTTGCTCATCTGATGTGTCCTTTGGGGAGCCTCGTAAGATACTAATTAGCCTTTGGTTTGGAATAGTTGAGACTCCCTAGCAACTGGAAAATTTGTGCTGCTTATTAGAGGAGTAATCTTTGTTCTCAAGAATTTTCTTTCCAAGTATTCTGGGTTTATTCTTTGTAAGCATAAAAAAACTTCAGTCACGGTACTCTGAAATCCTGGGGCAGATAGTGTATCCAGCATTTTATTGTCCTGTATCATAACTCTCATTGGGGAATACATGTTCAGTCTTTTCAGTCTTGCCTTCCTCAGAAAGAAAACCTGCCCAGTGTTCCTTCACTTGCAGAGAAGCTGGCTTCATTTAATTAAGAAATCTTTAAATGTCTCCTTTCCTTACCATCCCAAAGAAAATTCCCTGGAGATTGTTTCAGTGAGTGGTGTCTGTACACAGATCATGAGTGAGGAGGACAGAGCCAACAACAGCTGCTTCCTTCAGGGTAGTTATGAAAGGGAAAGACACAGTACGAAGATGACAGCCCGAGCCTGCTGTTCCCTGTGCACCCAGGGTCAGCCTCTCAGAGCAGAGTGACATCCTTAGGGCAGCTTTAAGCATTTGCCCATTTACAGGGCAGCTGACTAAAATCTTTGGAAAGATGCTGAAGAGTGTCTGTGTGAGTGGAGTTTTTACTTATGATAACTGACTGCAAAGACAATTCTCATGACCTTTTCTAAGGTAGGTGATGTTTGTATTTGAAGTATTTTTCAGTGCTGTGCCAGCCACTCCCCACACCGTGTCACTGCCATAGTTTCCTGGTATGCTGCACACACAAAGAAACCATCACATGGAGCCTTGTCACATGCACAGGCAACAAGCAGAGAAGACAGGAAAATACAACATTCATGATACTTACATTGCTGGATAAAATATCTTCAGACAGAAACATAACATTTATTAGATGACTTTGTCCTGGTACATTTGTTCAGAGGTTACAGTGGCACTGGGAATCAGGAAGTAATTTATCTTTGAGCAGTTTGAGGCTCAGGCTTCATTAATATAATACATTAAAATAATATTTTGTGGGAATTCTTTTACTTGACTGCAGTGCAATGCTGCAAATCACTAAGCACTTTTTTTCCTTTTGGTGGTATCGACATGGTGACGCGGAAAGACTCACTTTGCAGAACTGAGCCCTTTCCTTTTGCGCTGTGGTTCCTCATACCTTGTGGAAACTCAGACATTAAGGTTGTCTTCACCATAAGTCACTGCTTGACACAGTTTTTCATAGTTACACACAAACCCAGCATAGTCCCGATTCAGTATAACAAGTTTGTTTCCCTCTAAACAGAGTAGTGAGTGTGTGATCATTGGGTTTGTTCCATTCATTTGCTGTTACAAAAAAGTCTTTGCTGCTTTGCTCACATCTAAGGCAGAGACATGACTTGCTGTGTGATAGAGGTATCATGACTATTAATTTGAGTAAAATAATGAAATTCGTTTAATTTCTGTTCTTCTGTGATACAATTGCTTCTGGTTGAAATTTGGTTGACCTTTCAGAACTTTCCAACTGAACTGTGATTTGACAGGGACTTGAGCTAAATATACAATATACAAAATACTGATTCTCTTAGAAGGATTAACATAGAATGGAATAGGATTTATCATTTTACATTTCAATTTAAAGTGAAATACACTCACTTTTGGTATTGATTTCTTACAAATACTTATTATTTTCTGTTAGTTGATTTATTAAACAGATTACCACAGCCATTGCATTTCAATGTTTGTAATTTATTTCTCTTCACATGGTATTTTGGTTAATAAAATATACAAAGTTGTAACTTACTCTCAGTACTGAGTGTTTTTATTTAGACAATGCAATTCTTAACTTGTGGAGAGCTCAAGATGTTCAAGTAGAATCAATCAATGTGTTTTTAACATCCTGAAAACAGTGAGCTACCCAAGACACACAAAATCCAGTGTATGAATCATAGAATCATAGAATTTAAGGGTTGGAATGGACCGTACAGATCATCTAGTCCCAACCCCCTGCCCTGGGCAGGGACACCTCCTCACTAGATCAGGTTGCTCAAGGCCTCATCCAGCCTGGCCTTGAACACTGCCAGGGTTGGGGCAACCACAACCTCCCTGGGCAACCTGTGCCAGTGTCTCACCACCCTCACAGGAAAAAACTTTTTTCTCACATTTAACCAAGACTTTCCCTCCTTCAGTTTGAAGCCGTTACCCCTTGTCCCATCACCGCAGTTCCTAACAAAGAGTCCTTCTCTGGCTCCCTTGTAGGCCCTTCAGATACTGAAAAGTTGCTCTGAGGTCTCCACACAACCTTCTCTTCTCCAGGCTGAACAGCCCCAACTCCCTCAGCCTGTCTTCACAGGGGAGATGCTCCAGTCCTCTCATCAACTTTGTGGCCTCCTCTGGACTTGCTCCAACAGTTCCATGTCCTTCTTATGTTGAGGACATAAAGCTGAGCAGTTTGTGAAAACTAAAGAAAAAGTTATTTACCTTAGCAGAAGTTTATTTATTTATTATATCACAGCACGCTTATCTGGGATATAAAATATAAAACACAGAGCACATTATGAATAATCTAATAAAGGTTTATCTTTCCCAGGTCATTTCAGCAAAAGCATTTAACAGCAAGCACATGACAATGCACCAGTCATTTCTTCCTCTGTTTTTACAGTAACCGAAGTTCAAGATGTCCAGAGATACATAACTGAGGGACTTTCCCTCACTAACTTTAAAGTAATATCTGTAAGTACTGAAATTCTTTGTTAAAGCCTATTGGTGAATACTGAGTCAGAGGAAGGGCAAATCTGTGTTCCTTGTGCTTCTGGGAACACAGTTGTGTCAGGCAGAGCAGAGTACAAGTATTTAGTAACATATCTGTTCCTACCACAGTAATTTTGGAGAGAATTGGATTTGGTATCACTGACTTTCTCTCAGCCAAGTCACAGAGATCCACAGCTGCAGCTAGGAGTTTTCTTTCCTTGCTTGTTGGAGTATAATGCTCTTTGTCTTGTGAAATTAGTCTGAGAACCTGTTTGACTTATCTCCTGGGACAAGACCAGGCATGGTAAGGAATGGATCACCCTTGGATCCTCAGGCATTGTGAGGCATTCTTATTTTCAGCACTTGCCAATGTCAGAGTAATTGCAAATACTTGGATAGATTTACTAGTTTAAGTATCACATTTTACATTTTTAGACAAGTTTTTCTCTAAATCCTAATTTTTAGACATTTATTAAAGACCTTTTTTCCCCTCAGTAGAACCAGTAGAGTGAGTATTCAAGCGCTGAACAGTAAAAATATGATAAAAAATTTAAAATCTAGTTGAATTTGAGTGCAGGTTTAGCAACAAGATACTCAGTACATTAAAGCCAATAAAATATTCCATGGAGGATTAACAAATTTGCAATGTTTTCATGTACATAACATTTACCATTCTTACTCTCCTTCAGTGAAAATTTTTCCTCCTTTTACTTCATTAATCTTAAAATAACCAAGTTTTTTATTAAAATCAAAGGTGTGAGAGCAAATCCCAATTAAATACAAAGCACAATATAATCTGGTGAGCAGCAGCCACCAGGGTTATTGCTCAGAAAGGAGAAAACACTTGAGGAAACACTGCTGGGGGTTTTTTGGTGCATCAGTTACATCTCAGTGGTGCAAGAATAAGCACTAATGTTTCTTCGGGGTAGAGTGTGGCAAACTTAATTCCTGATATTGACTTACTTCTTTCTCCTGTAGAAAGGGTGGTTTGTAACAATCCTGTCTTCCTCCAAACTGTGGAAGGCTAAAGATGGTTTGCTGTGTAAATCAGTGCTGGTGTCAGACAACAGCAGCCAACCTTAGGAGAGCAGTGCACTCTTCTGGCTCTGTTGTTTTCATGGGAGGGTTAAAGTTTTGGGAGTGTTTTTTTGGTTCTTCTTTAAGGTTATATTGCCCTCCACTGGAGCAGAAGCATAATTTTACTCAGTATAGTATACACAGCCCTATATTTGTTTGTGAACAGAATTGGTGCTGTAGCTCCTATTTAACATGGGTTACAGTTCTGCAAATGCAGTGCCTTGAATTTGATCAAAAAAACCCACCCCTGAGTAAAGACTTGGGTATTTCTATAAGACCAAAAAGTGGCAGCTCCTGATCACCACCACTGTGGTGATCTGCACTCTTGGCTCAGCCTCATGCAAAAAGTACATTCAGTAAATGAGCTTTGAATACTGGTTTAAGCAGCAGCTGTTCAAAGTTCTCCCTCTGAGGGGAAGTGGTTTTGTCGTTTACTGCAGTGGAGAAACAGCTGTACCTCTGCAACCTTAACTTTCACAGATTCTCCACCTAAATGGGTAAATACATTCATGAAACATTTGTTGCTCTTAGGTTGGTTTCCTGCCCTATCATGTATCCTGTGACAGATCATCCATCACGTTTGCTTCAGAAAGTGAACACAGCACTTCCCTTTTAGGTTTTCAAGGAGGAAACAGCACCAAGGAGCACAAATGTGCTTTTCTTTTCTCTCTGAGACTGAAATAAACCCAGATATTCACAACCCTTAGGGAATATGGTGGCTGCAAACTTCATGAAGTTCAACAAAATGAAGTGTAAGATCCTACATCTGGGCCATGGCAATCCCAGGCACACCTACAGGTTGGGTGGGGAAGTCATTAAGACTAGCAACAAGGAGAAAGACTCGGGAGTGACAGTGAATGAGAAACTCACCATGAGCTGCATTGTGAGCTCACCCCAGAAAGTCAATTGAATCCTGGGCTGCATCAAAA